ATAGATTATATGTAAACTATATTTATTTAATTATTATTTAGAATTGAAGATTGTGAGATTCCGAGCTTCGGATAATTCATTAATTTTTATATTAGTCCTATATCGAGTCAGCTAAATCCTTAAACTTTAAACATTTAAGTTAGATTATTATTTCAATAATTTTCAATTTTAGAATGTAGTTTTCAAGAATTTTATCTACAACTTTAACAGTTTGATTTAGCTAAATGAGTAGAGTGGGATAATTAATCTTGACCAGGTTACTTTTGAAAACATTAATTCATGTGGCTCAATAATAGGGAATAAGAAACCAAAGATCCTTTATAGAGACATATAAGTAAATAGTTTTTTGACTGCCACACAATGGATAGTAAATAATATGGAATGGCAGGTATAGCAGCAAATATCACTAGTAAATTCAATATATTCAAGCTCTCTACGACAGAATTGCTCTTAAAATTCAAATCATTTTAATGAACCTTGTTTTTCCATACAGATAACTAATTCAAGCTTTAAGAGAATCGGTTATTTAAAACAGAATATAAGTTCTTTATTTATTAACTCTACTTCTCAATAGCAAAATTATGGAAGTATTTTAGATCTTGATGAATTTAATGGAGATGTCATAATAAAAGCAAGCAATTTTTCATAAAATTAAGTCAAGTATTAAGGGTGTGGAGTAGCTAAAAATATTTTTGAAAACCAAATCCCTCAATAGACTGATTAATATCCAAGTTTGGGTTACAAAAATCAACTAAAAATTCATTCTTTGATTTCTATAACTAATCATAGTCATAATGTAGAACTGATTGATAATATTTTTGAAGAAAATAGTGGAACAAAAGGAATAGTAAACTTAGATATTAACAAAATTAATGGAAATTAAATAATCATTGCTCTAAACAGATTCAAGTCTAATTTTGGCTTTTTAGAGTCAACAGTTATTTATGTAAACCATAGAATAAGCTAGTTTAATGAACTTTAATTGTTGCTATAAAATAAAAAAAATGAGGGATTTTGTTCAGGATTTCATTTGATTAAAAATACTTTTGAATAAAATTTAGGATGCCCATTATATTCAGGGGGGCTTATAATATATTAATGCCTAGAGAAGAATTAAAAACCACTCTAAGGAAATGAAAGCTATTAAATGAAAATGCCTACTTTAGATTTGGACTCAATAGAATTTGATTGGATTGAGGAGGAAATAAATTCCTTTATTTACAGAGAAAATCTCATTAAATTTGATAAAAATATCAATTCATTGAAATCAAACACCTACTAAGAAAACTATGGTACTGGTGGAAAAGGTCTAATAAGTATTTATGGAAGCCTAAGGTTGTAAATTGCTGAGGAAATTTTCAATTAAAACGGTGAGTCTTGTGATGAAATCTTGAGCACTGATTTCTTTAGATAAAATTTTAAAAGCTACTCCTCAAACTATTTTAGCATTGTAAAAGTGATGAATGAATTCATAGATTTGCAAAAGATTTATGAAAAATAAGAGCTATTGATGAGATCTCTATATCTAATACAAGGTTCATCTTTTATAGAAATCGATAATGTAATTGCCTCAGAAAATTGGATGTTAGATATTGAATTTCTAAATACAAGATCATAAGTAGTTGCTCTTGATTATTTTTGGGGATTATTTAGATTTAACAAGCTTAAAATTTCAAATTAATAAGGTTACCAAATAATAGCTTCAAAATTTTAGAATTTAAAGATTACTGATATCAGACATTATGCTTTTATTCATCCTCTGATATCTTACTCTGATAATGTTTAAGTAAAGCTTTTGAGCTATTTCAAAGATGGGTTTGAGTTAAATTAAAGTAGATTCGCCCGAGTTGAAAGCAATCCAGGATTTCCATTCATGATAGATTTAAATCAAAATAAGCAGTTCCAAACCCCTCCTCATTTGATAATAAACAATATTTATATTGATTCTTTCGATTGTATATTATGTGATAGGGCTTTATTTAATATAAGAACTGATTAAATTAGTTTAATTGGAGTTAGAGTGAATAAAATAGGACAATTTTATGTATCTTCCAACTTTGATAGTTAATATGCAAATGATTGCTAATTATTCAATTTAACTTTGATTAATGAATAGATTGATAATGTTACTGGACCTTTATTGCTTCTGGAAAATATTTTTATCAGCAATATTTAAATGTACAAGCTCAATACCTAGATAATTAAAATAACAACTAGAAATTTATAACTTTAATAGTCTAAAATAATATAATTGTCAGATGTAGTTGTTCAATACATCACCTATCATAATGAAAGTTGCTTTATGGTAATTGATGCCTCGAGTTCAATTCTTAGAATTAATAATTTAACCATTCGGGATATTGATAATAGAGGAAATAAGTTCAAAAGTGGATTTATTGAAATATAAGCACTAAAGTCGATCGATATTAATTAACTCAAAGCAACTGGGATTTAATAATATTCAGATAATAACATTGAAAAAGCAGCATCCCTTATATTTTCAGAAGACTTATAAGAGAATTTTGATTTCAAACTTTCATTTTCACAAATTACCTTGATGAAAAATGATTTTTAAGGAAGTTTAGATCCATTGGTCTAGTAGTATTCCTTATTTTATTTAGCTAGCTAAAATTCAACAATAAGCGCAAGTTTCTATTCTAACTAGATATCAAATTGCTATGCTATGAGCAGAGCTGTGATATATCTTTAATCAGAGATAAGAAGCACTTTAAATGTCTACGATAATGATTTCTCACAAATTAGCTCCCGATCGAATGGAGTATTTTACTGTAAAAACTGCGATATTTAGCGATTTAAAAACAATCAGTTTATAGGTGTCAATGCTGTTGACGGAGGGGTTCTTTATATTGATAATCCATTAGGAGAGATTGTCTTGATAAATAATTATTTAAGTGAGTTTAATAGTATTTACAGGGGAGGATTTATTTACGTCAATGATTCTTATCAATCTGAAGGAGTATTAAGAATCACTTTTAGGGTTACTGAAAAAAATAAATTATCTCTGAATCATGTTAATGCATTTTACGGGGCAATTTTGTATTTTGAAACATAGAGATCGGTTGATTTACTAATGGATCAGATTATAGTTAATTTTAATTAGGATTCTTCAAAAGTTTAATTAGATTAATAAGGTTATTATATTTGTGCTAATTAATCATCAAGTTTAAAAGAATAAAGTGTCGGAGGGAATATTTCAGTTAAAATTTTAAATATTGATTCTTTTGAAAAAGCTTTTGTAGCGCAGGGAGCTATTTTGCAAATATAGTATCTAGTCAAAAATCTTTAAGTTTATATTTAAGACTCCATCATTAAAAATTATGAAACATCATTAAATGGATTAAATCTTAATGGTACTTTAATTTATGCAAAAGCACTTAATTCTATTCAAGTTACGATTCTGAATTCTTCTATATCTAGTATAACAAATTACCAAAGTTCTGGGGCTCTAATATATTTATATTCAAATAATATAGATCTAATGATAACTGACTCAAAATTTGAAGGCATAAGTTCTTAGAACCCAGGGAAATTATCGATTTTAGTTGCTTTAGAATAAGCTAATGTAGTAATAAACAATTCAAAATTTTAAAAACTAGGTGTTGTAGGAAATTATAACGGAGGAATTTTTCTTTTTTAAGGTAAAAGTGCTGATCTCAAAATTCAAAATAATACCTACTTTGAAAGCGTTTAGACAATGAGCTAGGGTGGAATTGTATATTATGAGACAGATTATTGCAACTTGACAATTTAAAATTCTTAAATCTAGCATGTATATTGGAATTCAAATGGTGGTGGGATTGTTTATATGAAAGGACTTTATAACTAGGTGAATCTATAAAATGTAAAAATATACTACCAATAATAAGAATATTAAATGATTGCTGCTGAATAAATGTTCCTAAACATGATTCAATTGAATTAAAGTGGATTGCTACAACTAAATGGGGAAATCTAATAAATAGAATTTGATCAGCTTTATTTTTAAAACAGTACATAGGTATCAGGACCTTTATATGGAGGAGTTATATATTCATCATCTGCCACTACTAACTTCACATTAAATTGCAAAAATAGCACCTTCAACTAAGTCAGTTCATCTTCACTTGGATCATTTTTATACATAGATCCATTAGCCACTCCAAATATCAGTATTAAACTAGTAGGAAATAATTTTTCCATTGGATAATTAGAAGTAGGATATGAAAAGTACTATTTGGAAATGAAGAGCCTTAATAATAATCTTTTATCTGAAAATGGATATTTAGTAGGAGGATTATTTTATATTCAAAATGGTTTTGGAGCTTTATATAGTTAGGAAAATAATTTTAAAGCCATTACCACAACAAGGCTTACGTCAGTATTTCATCTGCCTAAAAACATTAGAATATATGATAAGAAATCTTTCTATTTCTAATGTGAAAGTGAGAATGGAATTTTCTTATGCAATAATTGTACTTTAGTTTTAGATGAGATTAGAGTTATTAATTGGCAAGGTAAAATAGGAGGATTAATCAACATGATCGATTAAGCAAATGTTTTTATTGTGAATTCGGTATTTATGTATGGGCAAGTGACAAATAAAGGAGGAGCCATATATGCTAATGGAGTAGGAAGCTCATATATTAAAATTATAAACACTAGCATTTCTAATGTAGAATCTTAATAAGATGGAGGCTTGATCTATTCTGAAAATCCTGATTTGATGATAAAACTTGATAATGTGACTCTTAAACAAATCTTGGCAAAGAATTTTGGAGGAATTATCTATGCTAAATAATCTCAAAATATTCAGATATCAAATTCATAATGTACATTATTGTAATCTGGAAATACTTAAGGGAATATGATTTATTCTGAGCATCAGGGTCTCACAGTTTAACTTGATAATAACTATTTTGAGGGTTAAAATAAGCAGTAATATGAGAAAATTTTGAGTTAAATCACATCTTATTCTGGGATTTATATGACTTCTTTAATAACTTTAGTTAATGCTAAGAGAGTTACGACCTTTAACAACACTTTTAAGAATTTTTATGTTGCCACTTCAGGAAGTGTATATTCTATTGAAGACACAGAAGAATTTATAGATTAAGCCTCAACTTATAATTTCTTAGCAGCAATCAATGGAGGTGTTTTCTAAATGAGTAATGTTTCTCAAATTCTGCTTAGAGATTAAATATTTTTGAATTCTACAGCAGTTAATGGGGGTATTCTCTAATTGATTGATAATTATAATACTACCATTCTGAATGGCACATTTAATAGTGTCAGGGCGAATTAAGATGGAGGTCTTATTAATATTATTAATCTGAATAATCTTTACTCGAAGTCTTTTCTAGTAATTTCAGGATATAATTTGTCTGAGTTTTAGAATTTCAGATCGTATGGAAATGGAGCTTTGATTTATGCTGATGATTCAAGCATAGAAATAAGTATATCATATTATAAGGCATCAAATTTCAAAGCAAGCAAGAATGGAGGGTTTATCTTCATAGAATAAGCTTCTTCAGTTTTTATTAAGAATGTATAGGCATAAGTTATTTAAGCTTTAGTAAGCGGATCTGTATTGTTTTCAAAATACAAAAATCTAAAGATCAAAGTTCAGAATAGTACTTTTATTTAGAGTTTTGATGATGGTTATAATAAAACCTAGATAAAATAAAACTTTACAAATAACCTGTATGATCCGGCAATTTATACAGGCGGTGCATTCTATTTCTAAGATACTAATAGTGTGATTGAGATAAGCAATATTACAGTTCAAAATTTTCATAATGTTTATCAAGGTGGAGCTTTTTACCTGGAAAACTCTTCTTTGTAAGATATTGGCTCAAACTATACAAAGAATTTTGCCTTGTAAGGAGGCTTTGTCTATTGTAAAAACTGTTCTATCCTTACGTTTACTTCAAAATTTGATAATTAATCAGCAATATAAGGAGGAGTTATCTACTCATCATTAAAATCAAGGATTGAATTTTAACAATCAAGTTTTAATAACACTTATGTAGTTTCTGCTGGTGGTTTCCTATATACCGATAGTGGACCTATTTAGATGCCTGCTGATATTCAAAATTCGTCATCTATTATCATACTTAATGGCACAACCTTGATTGCAAACTTTTAGAGTGACGGATATTCAGCAGGGTTTGATTTGAATAATCCATTGTTTGATATTGTGATGAATTTTTCAATGATAACTATTTCAAACTTGCAATCAGTTTATGATGGAAATGTTTTTTACATTAAAAGTGCAAATCGAGTTATTATCGATGGTATGATTGCTCGAAATGTTAGATCTTCCCTAGGCTAAGGATCTTTCTTATGGTCTAACAATTCAAATACCTAAATTATAATTAAAAATTCAGAAATCAATTGTTAAAACAATTCATAAAAAGCGATTGAGAGAAATTACTTCGCATAAAATCTTTTATTAAGAGGGAGTGCTATTTCATTCTAAAATAGTAATATTCCTTTAATCTCAGAGAAAAATAACTTTAAGTATTGTGAGAATGTTTATCAAGGTGGCATATTTAAGCTGATTAAATCAGAATTGCAAGATTTGAATTCTAACTATAGCTTTAGTTCAGCCTAATAAGGCGGCGCTATTTACTGTTAAAAATGCAGGCTAAATATAACCAACAGCAATTTCACTAACCAGCTAGCTTAGGAGGGATCAGCATTTTATATATAAGAATATGACTCATCATTGCAAAATGCATTAGGAAAAAAGTTAAGATTCAATAATTAAGAGCAGCTTATATCTAAATTTGATACATCAGATAAATGTGGAGGAACAATTCTATTTAATGAAGACTATTATTCACCTAAATCTCTAAGATTTCTAGTGAGTGAAGTTGTAGCTAAAAATCTATCATCCGAAACATATGGAGCATTTATATGTAGCTATTAAGGATTACTCTAACTTGAAATTGACAGGATCAACGTAACATAATCAAAAGCTTCAAAATAGGGAGGAATATTTCACATTTTTAATATTGATACATTGAAAATAAAAAACTCATATTTTGCAAATTTTGATGGAGGCGTTTAAGGATCCTTCCTTTCAACGGATTATTATGGGGTGATGCTTACACTTGAGCTAATAAATAATACTCTTATCGAGTTAAAACACTCATTAATATATGATAAATGGTCATTTCTTGATACATCATCTGGAATGATGTATTTAAACTTTCCATGGTTCGTAAACAGCATAAATAATAGTTACTCTGATGTTCTTTATGTAAATGAGTGTGGAGTTTTTAAGATGACTCGTGGAAACTTTTACGAGGAAGGATCTACATACACAAATATAATTGTATTGCAGCAAGGTGGAGTGATGTGCTCATAATTTTCAACAATAACAGTATACAATGCAACCTACTATTAAGTTTATGGTTCTGATGGAGGTGCATATGATATAGATGGTTTAAATTCTTAGTTAAAAGTATATCATAGCAGTTTCACTAAAATCTCAATGTCAAACGCTGGAGGAATCGCTAGATTTCGGCAATCAGTATTGCTCTTTGGTGCAAAACCAATGGATTAGATTTTTACAAATTGTACTTTCACAAACATTTAAACAATGTCTAAAGGCTCAGGGTTCTATATCGATGGTTACATTATGGCGAATTTACAGCTAATTTCTTGCTAATTCAATTAATTTTCTGGAACTTTAAGTGGTATTTTTCACATTAATGGAAATTCAGGAGGTTAAATCTAACTATCATCTGATAAAAGATATGGGTAAACCATTATAAGAGATTTCTTTGTAGAATATTAAGTTGCTGAGGAGTCTTCTTCTTTATATTATTCAAACTCATAAAGTTTTTCACTATAAATGACTGATGTTTTAATAGAGTGTTAACCTCTAGCCTAAAATGGCTATGTGTTAAAGAAAAATAAAGTATTTGCTTCAATTATCAAAATGAAGAAATCATAAAGAGGTATAATATCTGAAAGAAACATTTTTATGAATTGTTAAAATGTTTCAGAAGGTTCAATATTTTCATTGACTTCAACACAGTTGATAGATAAGAATTCAGAGTATTATAATAACTCAGCTTAATAAGGAGGTATATTAGCTTGTACTAATTGCACAGTTTCATTTACTAATTCTAGTTTTCATCATAATAAAGCTGAATCTGGAGGCTTATTTATTCTATATGAGAACTACGATATAGGTTTAAATAATACTCAAATTTGGGAGAATTCAGCTTCTAAAAAAGGTGGAATATTTTTCGTTAACCAGATAGTTGAACCATCAATAGGAAAAAATAAAATTGTTATAATAGATTGTTATGATGTAAGATGTATAAAATCAATTGAAGGTGGGTTCTTATATTCCTAGAGCTCTGATTTAAATTTAACAATTATCAATTCAACTTTCTACGACATTTAAGCATTAAATGATGGCGGCCTATTTTCTTTGAATAAGGGTTTGATTTTCTATTTAAAAAATATTAAGGTTACAAAAGTAAAAGCAAAGAACTTTCATCTCATAACATCTATAGCTTTAATTAAAAATTTCACTCTGGAAAATTGTGAGATTGTATGTGATTCTAATTATTTGGGGGATCCGAGCTAAGAATTGGATTCTATTAATCCTACATATACAAAATTTGGAATATTTAGTTTTTAAAATGCCCTTGGAATAAGCATAAAACAGTCTAAATTTTAACAGTGTTCATCCTCAAATGAAGGCGGGCTGTTTAAACTATCAAAGGTTTCTTATTTCTACGATTATAACTCAAAATATCAAATGAATTCAGCAGTTTTTGGAGGGGTAATTCACTCCTCTTAATCAAATGTTTACCTTAATGAGACACAATTTTAAGATAATTAAGCTAATCGAGGTGGATGCATTGAATTAAGCTATGATTCCTACTTGTTTATGAATAAAGTTACATTCAAAAATAATTAAGCGTATTCATCAGCTGGGGTTATTTTTATTTAATCAAGATCTTACTTTGACGCATTCAATACTATTTTCAGTAGTAACAAAGCTAATGATAGCTCTGTAATAGAGATAATTGAAAGTTCAAAGATATTTTTTAATTTGATGAAATTTTGCACAATCGAGAGCAATTTTGCACTCTCAAATTCTATCAATATTTAGAATGCTAAATTTAGATTCGAAAAAAGTGAAATGAATTATAACTTAGCATTGACTCGAAGCTAAAATATTTTTGCAGCTTTTTCTACTATTCAAGTAATATAATATTATAGAGTCTTAAAATTATATAGATTATTGATTCTTAATTCAGAGGTAACGGAATTCAAAATAAAGATTTATTTTAGAATAAGGGATCATTTTTATTTATAAGCTTGGATGTTAAGCTTTATATCGAGAATTCCTCCTTTATGAGAGGTTTTGCTATCTACGGGGGAGCTCTATTTATTTCAGGAGATTCTGAGATAATCATATCTAGAAGCATATTTATAGATAATTAAGTAGTTGAAAGAGGAGGAGCAATTTATGCAGATGGATTCTCTACATTGAACATTACTCAAAAATCTACACTTACGAATAATTTAGCATTTTATGGAGATGATATTCATATTTCAAATTCTAATGGTATCTTCTGCCTTGATGAAGTTACAATTGAAAATCCTAATGCAAAAAGCTCGATCATCGTCAATGATGCACAAGTTTATTTCTTTAATGTCATTATGAAAAATATTGGAATAAAGCAACAAATAAAATCTCAAGGATCAGGCTTAGCTTGCTTTAATTGCTTGAAAATAAATATTATCTCCAGTTTATTTGAAAATCTTCATGGATCCTTAGGTGGTGCCTTATACCTAAACCAAATAGATCTCAGAAAAACAGACAATGTTCAAGGAAATAATTACTTTATGAAAGATGTCATCTTTAAAAATTCAAAAGCATACGCTGGTGGAGCTATTTATATGGACAATCTCTAAATTCTCTTTTTAGATAACTGTACTTTTATTAACAACTAAGCTTTAACTATTGATGATTCGAATTACAAAAGTTAAAATGGGTCTGGAGGGGCTATATACTATGATTGCAATTAATAGCTACTAAAGTGCAGTTTTACTATCTTAAATCAAAATAAATTTGAGGGAAATATTGCTTCAGTATAAGGCGGAGCAATTCATTGGACAAATATTGAGCCAGAATTAAGTGAAGATACTAATTTCGAAAACAATCTGTCATATCTGTATGGAAACAATATTTCTTGTTTCGCTTAAAACATCGTTCGCATTAGTTAGAGTGATTATGATACTATAATTTAAGCATTCAGCACTGTTTAATCAAATAGACTTTTAAAAAGTAGCAAAGCATCAATATCTTATAAATTAGAAGAGTTTAGTAGTAAGAAAAATTTTTAGGAAACTAAAATTACTCTTTAAGAATAACAGTCTGGAGGTGAATTAGAGTCAATTTATCTTGCATTAATAGACTAATATGGTTAAATAGTTACCGCTGATTCTACTAACAAGATTAGATTAATTATAAATGCAACTAACACATTAAACGATAAGTATCCTCCCATTATTGAAGGAGACTCTACATTTTATTTATAATATGGATTGACTGAAATAAAAGATGTAGCTTTTGCAGGTACTCCAGGAGAAAATTATAGCGTTTTATTTTTAACAGAGGCTATTGATAAGACTAAGAGAAATAATATAAATTATATGAACTAGAGAGGTATCGATTAAATAGATTTCAAAATTGATATTTAACTAAGAGAGTGTAAAATTGGGGAATAATTTACCTCCAGTGGAAAATGTGTTTAATGTCCTAGCGGATTAAGTTTTTCATTGATTAAGATGTAAGAACCAGGTAGTTGTTAAGTATGTCCAACTCAAAAAGCTATTTGCAATGGCGGAACATTTATGGGTCCAAAGCCAGGATATTGGAGAAAAGACAATAAAACTTCGAATTTTTTGAGATGCATAAACGATAATTCCTGCTTAGGTATGATACCACCTGAATATGATCTAAAAGGAACTTGTTTAATTGGCTATTAAGGAATTTTATGCTAAGATTGTATTGTTGGCTACTCTCGAGTCTAAAATTAATAGTGCTCAAAGTGTCCCTAGCCTCATTTCAACATCTTGAGATTATTATCAGTGTTTTTGCTGTCAGTATTCATTGTTTTATTTTTGATAAGGTCTACTTTAAACGGAGCAAAAGACAAAAGAAACATTACAAGTGTGTATTTAAAGATTTTGATGAATCATTTGCAAATAATAGTTTTAACGGCTTAATTTGAGTTCTAATGGCCTTAGAGAGTTTTGGATTTTTATGATGGTGTTAAGCCAGTTGCTTAATCTTCTTATTAAATATTATCAATTGATTGCTTCCTCGATATGAGGGCAGCATCTGAAAATAGTTGGTTAAGAGTATACTTCCAAAAAATCACAATACTTTCATTGTTACCTCTGCTTTTGGTTTTTATTTCTTTTGTTTCTTGGATTATCTACTTAGCAGTAATTCGAAGCTAAGCTGAATAATCTGGGCGAATAGTTGCTACTATTATAATACTTTTATTTTTGGTACATCCAAGCATTGTGTAATATATGTTTAGTAATTTCAGATGTATGGATATTGATAGTGATTAGAGAATTGAAGAGGATCTAGAAGTAGTATGTTGGAGCGATTTTCACAATTTCATTAGTTATTTTATTGCTGCACCCAGTATTTTAGTGTGGGGTATTGGAATTCCATTCTTTGCTTTAGTGATACTTTTCAAGCATAGATTCATGCTTGAATAAAATGCCCTAAGGGAGCGATATGGTTTTCTCTATAGGGGTTACAAAAAGGAGTTTTATTATTGGGAGATTTTTATAATGTACAGGAAGCTTATTATAATATTTATTTCTGTATTCTTTAAGAATCATGGTGTAGTTGGTTAAGCTCTGATTATCATGATATTTTATATATTCTTTATGCTTTTGACCTTTAAATTGAACCCATTTATAAATATACCTCTTAACTAACTAGAATCATTATCACTTCTAACATCAATGCTTACAATATATTGTGGTTTATTTTTCATTACTAATATTCGTGAAGATTGGTTAAAGAATGAACCAGAACTTAAGAATTTCCTGATTCTTACTGAGGATGAGAAAATGTTTTTCTTCAGTGTTATTTTGATATCGAATCTCTTATTCTTTATGCATTGGCTGAACAAAATGTTTAAAGAGTTACAATTTAATCTAATGATAAAACTACCAAAACTATATCTTATACTCTGTATGTTTAATAATAATTAGAAATTTGAAAGCAAGTTTAATTAACTTAGGATTTAAGATGAGAGTGAGAATCTTCATGATGAATTCGATAGAAGTAAGAAATATACATATTCATTAATTTTACATTTTAGCTTAAAGATAATTAAAGGAGCTTTATCTAAGTGGAAAACTCATACTCAATAAAAAATCTGTTGAAAAGCTCTAACTTATATTTCATCCTGATCATGTACTCAAGTAACTTAATTAAGGAGGATCTCAAGATTTCATTGATTCTAGCAATTCAGGTTTATATGGTTCATTTGTAAAGTTATAAGAAAGGCAGAAGCTTAGAAAAGAACGAAAATTAAAAATGGCCAAAATATTAAATGAAACATCAATTGAATAAGAATTACTTGTAAATGATTTAAAATAAGGGGAAAAAGGGATATCATTTTTAAGTAATAAAGAAACTTCAAAAAATATTTAAAATGATTCAATGGAAATGAATTTTAACAACGCCTTGACTTAAGATAAGTTAAATGAAGATACCAGATACATTGATATTACTTAGTTCAACGATAGTTATGATAAGCCATTGCTATAGAATAATTAATCAACCCCTAGGATCGTTTTTTAGAAAAATTCCATCGAATTCGAAACAGATTAAGAAGAAGAAAAATAGGAGATTTAAAATGGAAAATCGGTTAAAAGAGTAAGAAGAATTTATACCCATTTAGAAATAAATAAGCATCATTAGTAAAATTTTGGAAAATGTAAGAAATCAACCTCCTCTTAGTAGATTTGTTAAGATAGAAATGAGCACATTACATAGGACGATACAAAAAAATCTTAGTTAAATCATAAAAAATCTCTTTTTAACAATTAAAGTAAAATGGTTGGTGAAATGTAAAATCTTAACTTCTACCTCCTATAGAAATCTTTTGATAATCAAAGTTAGATCCAAGATGATGATATGCTTAAATCATTAGGATCTAGAGGAGATATTTAAAAGTTTAAAAGTCAAAAGATTGAAAATGATGAGTAAGATATTATTATCAGACCAAAGAGAATAATCTCTAAAAAGCCTAAAGAATTTGTAAATAGTAAGAATTCCAATCGCACATACTATAAGAACTAAGCTGGTAATGAAAATATAATGAAAAATTTCAAAGTTTATAGAGGCTTTGAATAATTATCTAGAAAAATTAATAACTATCATTGCTTGTCCAATAGTATTGGTACTCCGAGTTAAAGATTAAGAGAGTTTAGTTAAAAGGGTAAAAGTTATAGTATAAGAAATTCTTTGATAGATAAAAATCAAATAATCGAGATTGGAAATAGTATTAATCCAGATTTTCATAATCTTAACTTTGATGATAAATCGGAACTTGAAAGCATAATATAAGAAGCACCTTTTCATGCTGACTTTGGGAATTAAATGGAGTTTAAGGAAGCATCATTAATGATATCTTAAGAAAGTTTCTAATCTTAGAGTGATAAAGAAATGAATTAAATTGAGAATTTAACAGAAACCTAAGAAAAATTATCGCTTTAAGATATAGAAGAAGAATCAAAATGAAGTTATGATAACTGAATTACATAAACTCTAGGAATATTGTAACTGATTTTAAGATCACAAAAAATTTACATTTAATCAGAGTTATAAAAGGGAAATGTTTATCTCATTTACAAATATAAACTTGAGTTGAAATTCTTTGTAGATTTATTTAAGTGACCTTAGATTTAATAATTTATTAAAATTCAGCATAAATTTTATTATCTCATTAATATATATTTCAAATTCAAGATAAATTTCAAAATGCTTGATCGATGGGGTTTTGGGGTTTTGGGG